TTTCATATACTTAATGAAGAGTTAACAAGATTTCACTGAAGAAAAAAAAGGATTCTTTTTTCCATTTTCTTTATTTTATATAATTTTACATCATTCTTGATTTCCATATGTTGTATGCTTTGTCCACTCACTTTTGGTCCCCAGGAGTCCCCACCACCAGTTCACTCATATACTGTCAGTACAGTCCCTTGCGCTGCAGGCGTCCATTACCTGAGAAACATTTCGGACAGCAAGAAAGCAAATGGGTTTAGAGACACGGTCTGTCTCAGGGTGGGAAAAGTGGCACAAGCGACCTTAAGACAAATTCAGACCAAGGGTCTACTCCCAGATCTGCTGTTAAAAATCTTGTAAAATTGAAAAATGACAAGTTCTTCAACTGTCAAGTGAGATCAGTTAGCCCCATCATGTAAGACGTAAGACTGTTAAAATACACGTATGATATATAAACCAAGTGGCAGCATGACTGGCAAGTATTACCCAATATTTAATGAATGGAAATTACTCTATTTTCATCCCAAATGATACCTCCCTGGAGGTTTTATATATATATATATATATATATATTTTTTTTTTACATCATTCTTCATTTTGTGCCTTTTTCCATCTCAGTTGCAATCCCCGTGGGCTTCCCACCACCAATTCATCTGTGTGCCATCACCACAGTCCAGTGCATTCTTCCCACCCCAGTTCTGATCCCATTTCCCCATAGAATGTCTCTGGTTTGTTGTTGTTCATTTTTACTCTATTATAGTTGTTTGTCTCTCTCCCACCCCCACCCCTACCCCCACCCAATCCCTTACGCTCCTGCTATGAGTGAAACCATCCAGTATTTTTCCTTTGCTTTCTGGCTTATTTCACTAACGTGATCCCTTCCAGCTCCAGCCATGTTGCTGCAAAAGGCATGAGCTTTTTTGTTTTCTGATTGCAAAGTAATATCCCATTGTGCGTTTTTTTTTTTTAATCTAAGAGATATCAGAGAATATGCAATGTTCTCAGACAAGGAACATCAAATCGTCTAAAAGCTCTATCAACTAGTAAAACAAAGTAAATTTTCCCCACTACAGTACTTGTCATTTCATTCAGGTGTGACACTGTCGTCCCACTGAAGGTAATTGAGGTTCCTAGAATGTGTGTTCATGACTAAGTCTTCCATCCTCCAAAGTCCCCTTCCATCCAAATCACCCCTGTCGACATTTATTACACCCTCAACAAAAGCTAGCCCCCACTTACAGATTACATTCAAGAAAACCTCAATACAATGCTCCTTTAATGGAGCAGGCCTTGGTTCTCTCAACTTGAAGCAGAGTGCCGGCCCAGCAGCTCCTTGGCATCTCACCTCAAGTGGACATTATCCTTATTTGTGAGAAACTCCCAAGGGCCGACATGAATAGAACACCTAATCAAACAGTATTACCTACATGGGACAAGAACCAAGAACCTTCCTTTCCTGCCACAGCTGGAGACGGTTTACCCACAATCCCAAATAACTCATAGCAGCAGTTTTCTGTTCCAAACAGGTGTCTGTGCCCGCCCCCCACCCTCATTTTATGTTGAAGCTCTAGCCTGCCCAATCTGACAGTATTTGAAGGTGGGGCATCTGGAGGTCCTGAGGATGGGGCCTTCATGATGTGAGTAGTGTTCTTATAAGATCAAGAGAGTACAGGACTCTGCCACTTGAGAACTCAGTGAAGGTGGGCATTTGCAAGGCAAGAGAGCTCTTGGCAGGAATCTGCTGTGTGGCTCCCATAACTGAAGAACGAAAATCTATGCCAACCAGCTACAGCTTTTCCTTAGAGCAGCCTGAGCTGACACACAGGCTTATATCTCTTGACTCTGAGGCGCACGATGGGTGGGTGTGACTTCTACTAACCACTTCCACAGACTCTCCTTGCCCACCACACAGCCTAAGTGAAAATGAAATCCCACTGAAGACCTGCAGTTCCTGAAGTCCCAAACTGCTGTGCTCAGGAAATTTGCACAAAACTGCACTCCTAAGAAACACCTTCTTGAGCACCCATTCTGTTTACTGTTCCTCTAGTTCAGATGGTGGTTAACTTCTTATCTCTATGAGTTCACAGCCTGGAGTTCTGAGTAGAGACTGAAATGTGTTGACGCTAGCATTCCCCATACTAACACCACGCCTTAGAAAGGACACACAAAATGTGCTGAAAAGCTGGCAAATACCAGCTCTAATTTATTAAGATTTAACTTTTCCAACATTCTTGAACAAGCAAAGAAACTCAAAGTATATGCCATTAAACTTTACAAAGCTAGACAAAAAGGAACAGGTAAAACCAACATTGTTGTGTTTGGGTTGTGTGTGTGTGTTTTTTTCCTTCTATTCCATTCTCCTAACACCTTTACTATGGCATTTGCTCACAATTACCAGTGTACACTCCCTAGCGCTAAACAACAACAACCTCACACTTTAACAAGGATGGGAAGGAATTTCTAGGTAGAATTTCTAGGCGTTTCGGCAACGGTGCCAGCACTGTTTACATGTACTACTTCTTCTCTTTCTCATCTCTCAGAGCTTCTTCATAAAGGGCTCGGAAAGTATCAGGGGTGGTGTCGTTGACCTTGGACAAAAACTTCAGGACCTGCATCTTGCTGGTTTCAGCGTGGGCTTTTGGGCCCCACAGGAACTCAAAGCGTGGGGGATCACTGTTGGCCACCTGGCGGTACTCCAGATACTTCAGCCTCACCAAATCTTTGGTGATTAGCTTCCTGGGCTCGCCATACATGAAGTGCTTCCTCCCAGCATACACGTGCATCATAGCCAGGAATTTCCAGATGTCTTCCTCCTTGGCGCAGTTGCCCTTCATGAAGATCATACCCAGGATATTCATCAGGAGACCGGTCTTGGGTAGCCCCCTGCCAGCACGCACTCTCCCATTGTTGGGGAGCTTCAACTTGCTGACAAGCTCATAGGCATGATTCTCCGAAAAGACTTCCCTCACCTCCATGGCAAACACCATCTCGATGCGCTCAGCGGCTTTCTTAAGGATCTCAGCAAAGTGGTCTTGGAGTACTGGGTTGATCACCTTCAACATGTCTTCCTTTTTGATGGTCTGCTTCATCTTATACTTGTACAGCATGAACTGCTCCAGCAAGCAGGCCTTCCGCATGATAACCTCGGGCCCTGGCATGTTATAGTAGTAGTACCTCATATTCTGATACCGAGTGTTAGTGCTTTCATTGGCTCTCTCAGGAGAAGTGCTTGCAGAACTAGAGGTGGGGGATGGGGTTCTCTGCTGTCCCCGGGAGATGCCACCTGGCCCAAGAGCCTGCCGACCCTGAGAATTAGTGGAGGTGGTTGGTTTTCTCTGACGGCCTCGGGAAGGGCTTTTTGACCCAGCAGCAGACCCGCTCTGAGAAACATCCTCACGAGAGGGAGAGGAGGTTGGAGTGGCCTCCTTTCCAGCTGTGGGAATGACCTGATCAGACTTCAAAGTCTGAATTTTAGCCCGGGCCTGGCGGCGTTTCGCAGAGGCCTGGAGCTTGCTTTTCGCACCACGAGGCATGATGACCTGGTCAGGGACAGCAGGCACCAGTGCAGGCAGCAGAGTGGGTGGCGAGGCACCTGGAGGAGGGAGAACGAGAGGGTGTGAACACCCCCATCAGGGCCACACCTCCTTGGCTTTAACCAAGGTCACCTTGGGGGTCCCTGTGGATCCTGTTCTCTTGTCTGTCCCTTAAACACCCTGAGGAGGAAGTTCAAGGGAACCTTGGAGTGTGGCCTTTCAGCCCGCCTGGGGTAGACTGGGAAGACAGCAGGGACTGCCTGTGAGGAATCTGTTTTGGGATGTGGGAACTTTTTCAGTCTGTAGTCAGGATCCTCATCTCCACTACTTCAGGTTCTGTGCCTCCTCTCTTCTGCTTCTCTGGTGTTCACGCTTGAAACCAAAGCCAGTGCCCTGGTAGTGCAGCAGGTTAAAGCACAGCATTAAGAAGTTATCCACAGTCACTCTAAGCATGAGCCCAATCCCCAGCCAGGGAGGTGACCCACATGGC